ACAACACACACTAACCACACTACACACATATTGTATCACACACACACACATCTATCTTTTTTTATCACACACACACACCAGTACGAGAATCACACACACGTTGCAGCGCAACAACACACGCGCCACACCAACAACACCACCCACACCAACTACACAACCTATCACACACAAAGATAAGCCCAGTACACACTCACACACAATCACACACACACACCACACACAACACCACAATGCACAGACTGAGACATGTTGTCAGCCTCAGTTTGCACCAATGTCACACCGAATGCCGACGGCAGAAATTGGGGGCACCAAGGTGAAGTGAGGACACACACACAACACACACACAGGTACCATAATATAAGCATCGACATTAGGAAAGACACACACACACAACAGCCAACACAACACACACAGGATCACACACCAAGCATCACGCGGCTGCGCGCAACACACCACAACATAACAAGGCACAGCACACACACCACACAGCTGACGGCAACACACACACAACACACTACAACACACACACACACCCACCACACACCACACCAGCACACCGCCACACACAAACCACCGATTGCACACATACCACGCACAGCATACAAACGTATATATATTATTATATATAGTTTATTATATAGTAGTGACTATCTTTATAACTTATGAATATATAGTACACTATATATAGCAATATATAATAATTTACAGCATAATAATATATATAATATATATACCTATATATAGTATATATATATATATATATCTGTAAAGTATAGTATGGTATGTGTGGTGTGTGGTGTGTGGTGTGTGTGTGTGTGTGTGTTGGTGTGATGTGTGTATGTGAGTGTGAGTGTGTTGTATCTTAATAATATGATGAATAAAATATATAAATATATACATCGGCAGCGATCAAAATACGGCCTTTGAAGAATCCAATGTGTCACAAACCTCCATTACCAATGGTGTTCGCGGGAACCAGGATCGATAAGGTCGTTAGACAGTCCAGTTACATGCCAAGGTTATATAGGTACTTATATAAGACCTGTTACATATGCGTGTGTGTGTTTGTATGTGTGGTGTGTGTGTGTGTGTGTGTGTGAGTGTTGGTGTGTGTGTGTTGTGTGTGTGTGTGTGTGTGTGTGTGTGTGTGTGTGTGTGGGGGTGGGTGTGTGAGTATTGTGTGTGTGTGTGCGTGTGTGTGTGTGTGTGTGGTGTGTGGTGTGTGTTGGTGTGTGTGTGTGTGTGTGTGTGCGTGTGTTTATGTGTGTTGTGTGTGTGTGTGTGTGTTCATGTTAATATATAGTATTATAACATAACACATGTGTGTGCCGTGTATCTTATATATGATTAATATAATATATAGTATATATATATATATTTCACAACACACACACACACACACACACACCATCACACACACAACACCATCACATTATAATGTTATATAATATATATATAATATAGTATACATTTATATTAAATATATGTATGTTTATGTATATATAACATATATATATTACTGTGTGTGTATAATGTGTGTGTAGTGTGTTTGTGTGTGTGGTTTGTGTGTGTGGTTGTGTGGTGGGGTGGGTGTGTTGTATGGATGGTATAATACATATTTATACACACACACACACACACAACACCACGCACGACCGCTGCTAAGTTGTGCGCAGTCACGCGAGGCACGTTGCACACCTACAGATGGGATTTGCCCACAGCACACATCACACAGCACACACATCGCGATATGGCTGATTCAGCGGCGCCCGATGAGATTCGAGGTATTGCATGATTTGGATCACACGAGTGCATAACACACACTCACACATTTATTAGCGTGATTCCACACATTATAGTATATAGTATTATACGCACCTATACTGGAGGTACCGTGTTAGTTATTGACTATAATATAATATATATGTTATTATGTGTGTGTGGTATATAATGTATAGACTATACGTACATATTAATATAGCATATAATGAAAATACTATATTATCGCCACTATGTATCAAATATCATACATGATACATAACATATATAGGATGATATATAGCTGATTGTGCATAAAATAATAAAATATATATATAAGTAAATATATAATACTAGTATTAATATAATAGTATAGTAGTAATAGTCAAGATTATCTGTAATGGGTATGTTATATAGGCATTAGTATTACCGGATAGCTGACAATTATCATATGGTAATAAATTATATAGTAATTATATAGTGGATTTATATCAATATAGAGGTAGTATATATATATAGTATTTAGTATAAGAGGATAATTAGTAATATCTAGTTATATATTATCTGTGTGTGTTATGTATGTGTTATGGTTTGTGTGGTCCGTGTCTGTGTGTATGTGTATTATTGGTATGTTATGTATATTCCTATTACTAACTGTTTTTTATTACACATCAAATTTTGTTTCGTTCTATATATTATAGGTAGCACCATAAGACCATGATTATTATAATGTATTGTAATGTCATATATATATATATATACTAGTATGATTATATTGTAGTACGTATAATTATAGCACTACCAGCTAATATATATATGTTTTGGTATGTGTTGTTTGTGTGTTGTGTGATGTTGGTTGTGTGGTGTGCTGAGGTGTGTTAAGTGTGGTGGTGTGTGTGTGATGTGTTGTCGTGGAGTGTGTGTGCCTGTTATATCAAATGTTATTATACATATAAATATAATAACTAGTTATATAGGATATGAGTAGGTATTATGATGTATAATATATATTATTATACGAGTGCATAGGCGGGCGATGGTCTAGGGTGATAGTGTATATATAGTAATGTTATAATATATATATACTGTATACTATAATATATGTTGTGATAGAGAGTATTGTATTATATGTTATTAATTATACTAGTGAGAGTATAATACGTAGATTTGTGTGTGTGGTTGTATGAGGCCATAATATTATAGAGTACTATATTGTCACACATCCACGGTATGAGGATAGTATATAGGTATATTTTATACGAGAATCATGTTCTATGGTTGATGGTGTGTGTGTGGTGTGTGTGTGTTTGTGGTGGTGTGTAGTGTGTGTTGTGGTGGTGTGTGTGCTGTGAGTGTGTGTATAATACTATAATGTATATATAGTAAGGTAACAGGGTATATATTAGGACAGCACAAACGGAACGTGAGTAGTAGGTGGATCTGAGTCAGAGGGTGGCTAGGTGAGATATAGATGTCGGTATATGTAGGTGAGTGTCGAGAGAGAGTGAACTCACTCCATATATATGTAGTAATGTATATGTAGGTCCAGTATAGCATAGGGTAACTCTGCGTCTGATAAAACAGTATCAAGAGAGAGAGAGACACCACAGCACACCGGAGAGAGAGCACACGCACACACACATATTATTGATAATATCTAATGGAATTACTATATCTAAGAATATATATATATTATATAATATATATAAGCATATATATATGTATATTATATATATGTGTGTGGTGAGTGTGAGTGTGTGTGTGTGTGTGTGTGTGTGTGTGTGTGTGTGTGTGTGTGTGTGTGTATATTTATATACTTATATACATATATGCATATATGCGTGTATGTATATATGTATATATATATATATATTATATATATATATGTATATGTATATATATATATATGTATGTATGTATGCCAGGGCCACCGTCAAGCGTCCAGGACCTCGGGGCAAAGAACAGGGCCAGGCCCTCAGGCCCACATCCTTTTTAGGTGGGAAACGCCTTTTTTCAAATGAGAAACACCCATTTTCCCTTAAACTTTTATGTTAATATAAACTGTGTGTTACCCTATGAATGTGCTGAGTTAGGTGTCCTTGGGCTCAAATAAGCGACTACTGTAAATCTTCACGGGCCCCGGGGTCGTTGCCCTGGCTACACCCCTGTCACCGGTCCTGTGTATGTATATATATATATATATATATATATATATATATATATATATATATATATATATATATATATATACATGTGTGTGTGTCTGTGTGTGTGATTAATATTCAAGAAGTTTGTTCAGTTTGTCATTTTTTCGTGTATAGTACATGTTTCTCCTTTTTTATTATCCTCTTCCCTATATTCGTCTTCTAAGTTTTCCTATTCAGTTCCTTCTTTTTCGTCTTCTACAATTCTAAAGTTAGTCGATTAGAATTTAAAGGATTAGACTAATATCAATATCTGTCTTAAATAAGAACAGCATTAAAAGAACATTTCAAAACGTTTTAACTGATAGCCAATCAATCATTTCACTCGTTTTCATATCCTTCGTCATTCCATCTTGGAATTTTATTCTATATGTAAATCCTCAAGCATTGTAACATTTCTACCAATTCATGATATATTTCGATATTCGCTTACCTCACGACTGTGGCATTTCGTGGTTTTCATGAAGGCGACTGCTTGTATACAGACTAACCGAGAGCGTCTACGTTACCATAGCAACGAGAAGGTTGCCATTTGTCGGCAAGTCGAGATAATCTATATCTGTTCTGAATGCTTGGGTAGCTTTCTCCTCAAATCATATTATGTAGAATAGGATAGTATTGCTTATATTCTGCACCCCTATTTGGAATGTGAGGCTAATAGCGACATGCAAAAGCGTCATAAAAAGGATTTACTGATAGAAGGAAGTTTATAACCTTTCAGTGGATGAAATAATCCTTTCTCGTCAATAACAGACTGAAACTCTTACACGCGGTCCTATCACAATGCATACTGCTATCTACGCTTATCAGAGGGTGCCTTTCACGCCAATGTAATATTTCCCGCGCTTACGTCAGACAAATGAATGGCGTATTGCAAACACCGTGCACAACACAAACCATCGACATCATTGACATATCCACGAATATAGGTAAAAAAATGGAAATATCCGCAAATTGTATTTAACAGTATAATTCCATTTAGCCATCAATATCATTTACCCAGACATATCACATAGTTACGTTATTTTAGGGGAAAGTGTTCGAATGTTGTGGTGCGCAAGTCGACGTTCCAACGCCACTCGCGCACACACGACCGCAATACCGGGACCATGGCGGATACAGGAGAAGAAAAGATTTCCAAAAAGTGAGTCTCACGGGCGTGTTTTTGTCATAAAGTGTGTGAATATTAGGATAACGCTTATTGTGGTTTACCTGTAATGGTGGATATGCGGTTGTGTTATTTAAAAATGGGAATAATACCGATTTTTAACCTGCGGAGAAACTAGAAGTGGATAGGCCAGATTAGCTCTTACTTTTCTTTTAAACTAACCCTTTTAACACTTGATTCATGTTGATTATGCAGTCTGCAGTTTCAGTTTATTGTAGGGTAATTAAGCACATGGATATTATTCCTGGACTACCAAGTAAACGTATTATATTCATAGAGGTAAGCCGCCATGTGGGCTTGGTTACGTCAGCCAATCATGGTTTTATGGAAATTATATTTTAAGTAAATTTGCATTAATGCGGCTCATAGGGAGATAAATTTGGTATGTTGCATGTGGTTTACAGTGGCTAGAGATGTAGAGTGTTATAAACATTGGCTTTCTTGATCATGTCATTCAGCATAATATGATTAGAAATGGTACCAGTATCGGCAGCATACAGGTGTATTAATTAGGTAGTGACCACAGGTATGGCAGAAATGCCTCCAGTTGGTGTTCTGCGGTTGCAGGGTGAAACAAACAAGACGGCAGCGTCTTGACTCGAGGTGATGCCATGATTAGAATTTTATTCTATTATGTCTGTATAACGGATTGTGATGATTTTGACATCGTTGGATTCCTCTGACTGTCTAGTTTTCAAGTATACAGAAGTTAATGTGCATAAACCTCCCAGACCCCCACATTCTTGGCCCCAGTAGCATGGGAGGGCATGAAAGGTACTAGGGAAATTGCAGGGTAAAGTGTAAATAGTATAGAAGCAATCGCTATATTGTCTAATGCTAAACCCCCACCCAGGAAAACAAAGAATCCTCCATATATTCACGGCAGGAGAGAGCGTAAGACCGCCATGCAGGACTGGTGTTGCCAAGTCTGTCTGACACTCCTGCCATGAATACATTGAGGATTCTTTGTTCTCCTGTCTGGGGATTGATTAACAGTCAGGTCTATTAATTAACAGTCAGGTCAAGGCCATGTAATGAAATCCAGTTATTGGTACTAATAATATTGATATTGGTAGACAGCTTAGGATATTTACTGTATTATTATATACCTTCTTGTCAGTGCTGACTAGCTATATCATCATTAGTGTTCCTGATAATGGCTTTAATAGGATTTTTAGGCGACCCACACCTTTTAAGATAGTTATAATAGTAATATTAGAACCAACAGATCATCACCTGCTACCATTACAACAATGGCATGGCTTCAGATGTTTGCCTTGCGCTCCATCAAAGGGAGTTAGACTTTAGTTACATATATTCTGGCAAAATTTAAGTGCATGGAAGAGCAACAAAACATCAGAGATTACTCCGAGCTATTTGGTGCCAAAAAATGCATAGTAGAGCATTGTTGACCTTAATGCAAGAGTGCTGAAGGCATGGGGAATGTTGTAATTCCTCAGTACCATGCCACCATAAGTTGCCAGTATTGTTGTAATGCTTAGAGACATCATAAGCAATCCGTTATTACTGAAATCAGTATTGGTGGTGCAATACCAACAGTAAGGAAAAATTCAACTTTAACGTCTTCAAAAACATCTGTTTAATTCTCCCTTTTCAAGATTGCTTTCATTATTTAAACAGTCCTGCATACATGAGAAATCACTGTTAGGTGTTATTTCATTTGCCATTATATTTATGATCACTTAATTTTTGTATCATTGGACAGATCAACTAGATTTAAGGTATCATATGCAACTCCTTGTATGGAGATGTATTTATTTGACCAACAGCTTGAAACTTTAAAAAGTGATTCTGGTAATGGCCCACATAAAGTGGACTCCACAAAATCTCAAAAGAGTATAGATGTTTGAGGTGTGTTTTCTTTTGCCAGAACATCAAGCACAAACGCCATAACATCGCTCGACATAGCAGCACAAGTATAGATTCACAGACTGACAAGTGATTATAGGCTTACTTTTATTTTGCATAATGATAATATATGTATTTTAGTGTGGTGTGCTCTATATGGCTTTTACTATAGTATTCTCCATATTCATTCATATAGTCCTATCTTTACTATTTATCATGGTTTGAAAAGTATAAAATTGGAACAATTACAATTGTAGAATTGCCATTCTCACCAAGGAATAAACTTTAGGCTACCATTGCTTGGAAATAGAGGTGAATAGAGCAGAAATACTTTCAAATTGTAGCTGATACAGTTATTTAGGGTTCTTATTTACTTCTTAGTAATGCATTTATAAATGAATCTCATTTGCATTAACATCAGTAAAAAAATCATAATAAATATAAATAAAATAGAAAGTAAATATTAAAAGCAAACAGGACAAAAGTTCCAAAAGGGAAAGGGGTTCAGTGGATCCCCCCCCCCCCTTCAGGAAATGATGTATACACATTGAGTTATACATAATAAGCCAATGTCAAACTATTCATGATCATAGCTTTGGTAATTAAATGTTGAAGTGGCTGCTATGATAATATTTTTGTATGCAGATATACATGTTAAATGTGCTTTGCATTCTCAATCTGTTCATTTGCATGTTCATAAATACATTTTGAAGTGAGAGATCAGAATCTAGAAGAAATATGTTTATAGATCATTGTTTTAAGTTATTCTTACTTTCCTCATTTTTCTAGAATATAATACTCATTGTTCTTGTGTTGTCCAATATTATACTGATTACCAACCATTACATTATTGTTTTTATATACATAAAATAGTTTATTAGAATTGAGCCAAATGAGTAAGCAGCCTTGCAGGTGTGTACATATATTTAGCAGATTTATTCATGATAAAAATTTTACCTAGATGAGGAAGCTGTGACCTTCTTAATAGATATTAAGAATATGCAAACCTATTTCAGGTAAAGTACTGTAATATAGAGGATGATAAGGATGTTGAGGTGCTTACTACAAACAGCGGCCTTCCAGGGTGCCCGAGTTTTGGAGACTCGGGGGAACAGACTCTTAACTCTGTCAGGCTGTTCGGCATATTGCCAGCCCTACTGCTCATATTCATCCCGCAGGTTGGTGAAACATCAAAGGCAGCATACTTTTGTCTGAACCAAGAAAAAGTTCATGAACATTATTTCTAGGTTCAGTTCATTTCCATATTATATTTGTAAAAGAATATTGTATAATTGTTGTAACATAGTGCATGGGCTTATTTTTGAGCAAGTGTACATGTTCATTTAGTTCCAACCTCATTTAGAGAGAGGCTGGTTGATTCATGAGAATTTTTTATCCAGCTGCATATGATGTTTCATCCACCCTCTCTTGATGTCAAAAAAACATTATATTTAGATATTTTTATTAGCTCTTTGTATTACTGAATCACCCATTTTCTTTTCTTTTGTTATATTACTTGAACTGAGATGGTAAACACAGCACAGATTTTAATCAGAAAGAAGTAGATTCTGATTATTTAAGTACATTCTCAGTTATCTTTTAGAAATTTAAAGAGCAAAGGGATATTGCCACTGATTGACAGTTGGGGTGTCACCAATATTGATTGGTTAGGGGTTGCTCAGTGTTATTGTTATGTCTTAAACAGTTTGTCACTTTAGTGTAAATGTCCCATAGATTACATGTAACTGATAGTGACCTAAACTGTTGATTTGATATTTAGCTTTAGATTTTTCTTGCAGTTGTTTCCCTTTAGAATTTGGTGTCAGCTCTGTACTATTATTACTTTTATTATTATTGCAATTTTATTATTTTAGTTTTGTGGATAATATAGTTTGAGCCTCTTTTTTTGCTTTTTCTCTTTCTCTGTTGCTTGGTTTGTATGTATGTCTTATTATTTCTATATTATGACTTATTCTTCTGGATGTGTTAGTGCCATGCATTATCAAAGTCTTTAACCCACTTGCACCAGATGACATCTAATCACATCTTACAAACCAGACCCAACTGTGGAGAACATAAAACCACTGCATGCACAGTCAAGCCTGCTCAACTGTGCAAACATTTGTGAATTAAATATTTATTTGCTTGATTTGTCCTATTTTCTGTTATTGAAGAGATGCAGAATATCAAAATAAGGCTGCAACCTGTTTTCATCCTCATTACCTCTTAAGATTGTGTATGCCACAACCAAAATCAGCTGGCCATATGCAAAGCCACGTGTATGGTTTGTTATTCCACAAGGATATCCTGTTGTGAATGGGTTAATTAATGGTATTCTGTGTGCCCTGTGTACTCGGTTGTGTATATTATCCTCATAATGTGAGTAAGTTTTTTCTTTTGCTAGGTTTTATAAGTATAGACCTTCTTTGGTGAAATGAAGTTTATTTTTCTTCTATAATTTCCTTTTTGAATAAGATGTTAGTTTTTTCTTTTATGTGCTTATGTTTCCTTTTAACATTTGCTCTTTATTTACAGTGAACTGAAAAGGAGACTGAAGGCTGAGAAGAAGGCACAAGAGAAAGCAGAAAAAGAAGCAAATAAGGGTGCAACTCAGGCTGACCAGGCTGCAAAACCCAAGAAGGTAAAGGAAATCATTACTCTTTTCTTATTATGGAAGTATGATATGTACAAAGTTTAAAGATTTTGTTGCTTTTAATGTATTATGTCTGTAACTTTTCTGTAGCATTTTTGTCCATATGTATTGTATATGTTGATAATATCCTAAATATCTAGATGTTCGTATCTTTTAGAATAGTGGAAGTCACTTTTGAATCATCTATAGGTGATAGGAAGACTGGTAGAATTATTAGTAAAGCTTGAGGAATTAGTAGAAAGATATCTGGATGTGTGACCATAACAAGGTTTTCATTGGTTTCCATTCTACAGTCAAATTCTTATCAAAGCAGGCTAGTCACTTTAAAGTGAATGTTGATGATAGAGCCATTTAAAGTGGAACATGTGGAGCTACTAGAAATGCTGCCTACCAACTATTAGCTAAAGACAGAGGTATCTATGAGATCTAGGCTAGTACCATTTGCTGAAAATAAGTTGTTATCATATGGTACATATTTATCTGTATTTGAAGACCACATAGCTGTATTTAAAAGACCATACCAAGGGCAAGAAAATCTGGAAAGCAATCTTAATATTAGTATGTACAATTTGTTTCATAGTACTTGTATTGTGTTCACATTCAAGAAATGCATATACCTGCAAATTAATTCTGGTAAAGAAAGGGTTTAGAAAGAGATTCATTCATGCATTTGGAGGGAGTATATAATATTATTTAGTGATGTTTTTGCAATACAGGTATGTCTCTTTTTATCCTTACCTTGAGTGTCATACATTCCTTATCCATTACAGGTGAATGAGGAAGAAATTAGTCCCAATGAATACCTCAAACTGAGGACCCAGTATGTTCAGCAGTTGAAAAATGAAGGTAAACCAGTGTATCCTCACAAGTTCCATGTGTCTACCTCACTCACACTGTTCCTGGAGAAATACAGTTCACTGGGAGAAAATGAGGAGGGAAAGGAGGAAGTTACTGTGGCTGGCAGGGTCCATGCCATTCGAGAGAGCAGCCAGAAGTTGCGCTTCTATGACCTCAGAGGGGAAGGAGTAAAGTTACAGGTTGGTGAAGGATTTTGCTTTTGTTATTATTACTAAAATTGTGATTTCAGTTCATTCATTGTGTTTACACACATAACTCTACAAATAATTAATCACTAAGGTGTCCTGCCAATGTCATCTCTTTACCCATTTTCTTGGTTTTTGGAAAGAATCTCTTTTTATATCTATATTCTTATTAGTGATTTGAAAAATATCCGTAATCATAATGTCAATGATAATGACAGTATCAGTATTAATTATATTAACCCATTAACAACGGGTATCCCATGTATGAGACACCCAAAAAAATAAACATTGCCAGGCGTCCCGCCAGTGTGACTCTGTATTGGGGCTCGCGCTCCGACGCAGCAGCGGGCTGTAGCTGGCAAACGGACAGACTCCGGGGAAGCTCCGCCTGGAATCTTTTATTTTTGGCTTAAAAAGATACCGGCGTGAATGGGTTAAAGAAGAAGAAAAAAAATCCCAAAAATTTGATGTCATGGTGTGGTCATGCAGGACCTACTAAATGACTTTATGATGACTGAGCACTTCCAGAGCCATCTGTGTGCAACAAGAGTCACCACAGTGGACTGTATTCCATGGTCAATGGGTTCAAGAAGGCACAGGACACTCTCTCTCTTTTTTATGTATGAAATATTGAACAGAGTGAAGTTTTTTTTTTTTTTTTTTTTTTTTCTAATTGACAAAGGCTATTTATATTTATTCTAAATTTAATTGATTGCTTAATATTTTTTGCTATTTAAACATTGTTATTGCATTTGATAGTAAGTTTAAAGGAGGATTTTGATTACTAAAGTCTTGTAGGGTTATTCAGATAATGAAATCAGTAGGAAGTCATGAAATTTTCTTCTAGAATATCAGTATCTTAAATGGGTAAGGGCATTTTGGAGGAGAAACTAACCTGCAATTGCTTTCATTATAAACTTAGTCTCCTAGTAGCCCTCTTTTTTTACTCTTCTAAATTTTCACTTCAGCAGCTAATTGCACACCTCATTCATGGTGTGGCTTGGGTATGGCATGCGGAAAACTCGTCATCATGTTAACTTCAAATAAATAAGTAGATTATTGTATTTTTCTTCTTTCTGAAGTCTGGGTCAAAATAATACTCCACTGATTAAAAAGATAATAATAATAATACTCTGATTTTGGGCATTTCTGAGAGTAAATTAAACAAAAATCTACTTTTGTGATACTTCTCTTTAAAGATTGCACCACCATTACATACTCAATACCCATCATTGCTACTCACGCCATTTACCAGCACCAAGAAGCCCTGTGGTGACAGTTTTACCCACATGAAACTGAGCCATACAATGGAGTGCATGCCCAGTCAGCTGTGTGAGTGAGAAATCAGAAGCCTGAGTAATACTAGTTTACCCCCTTCTATGCTCATTTGGTTGTGCCATACAGCATTTTCCTTATGATCTGTTCATTAAAACATTTGGCATGAGGTGTGCTGGATGAGAACTTGGATGAAGGAAGGAGTGACAGGAAAGACTTGCCACAAGTGCACAAAGCTCTTGGAGGGTGATTAGACTTATTTGGCTGTTAGAAAGGGGCTTTTGCATTATTCCCATAAATAAAGGATTCTGGAATGTAGTGACTATGAGCCATGACTGGAAGAATGCCAGCACCAGGGAGGATGCCATTTCCATGCTGTCCATCTGCTTCCTAATGTGCAACATAGGTTGTATTACAGTAAATTGAATATTGGGAAGAAAAAATATGCAAATATCAAAATATAACTTATTGTTAAGTTATGGACTACCTACAGAGTTGATATGGAGTCTGTGCAAGGAAAACTGTATTACCATCTGGATAAAGCAAATGAAATGACAAGTATGGACATTGGAAAGGGGCAAAAACTTTTAAAAACTCTTATGCAGAAAAAGGTAAAATAACATTGTAAAGGGTAGACATAGTCTTGTTACCGCACATGAGTGTTCACATGCATCCAGCCTATAAGTCGCACACCTGTCAGAGTGGCTGCCTACATATGCCAATGCCTGTATTTTGAGCCATGTGATTGCACCTGTATTGAAGGGGATAGCAGAGGCTAAGACAAGAGTTTTAACCCATTTTTGAGTGGCTGTACCTCCTAAAGGCAGATTGTGAAATTCGTAGTATTACTAACCAGCATTTGGGCTCGGTTCATAATGCCAAGAATGGATGCAACCTTCATGCCTTATAGCCCACGTGTGGATGAAAATCCAGGTGTTAGGCTTACTTTGAGTGGCAACTCTCATGGTGTGTTTTCTGCACATGTTATTTACCATTTTCTGCAATCTGTACTTTTCTTTTGTAAAGCAGTATCAAGATGGTAATAGACTGCTTTCCAAATTATCTCTCTTGGTTGTATAGAAGAAATTATTATTTTGTCAAGTATTTATATTTTCATTTTTGATTTACTGTAAAATACCTTGTGCTGCACATTCCACACTCATTTACAGGTGGAAGTAATACAAAAGTCCCTTTCTAAATACCCAACAAGTCTGTACATTCATGAGGTCATATCCATCACACAGCCATGAACCAATTTTTTTCATAACATATTCCCATTGCCTTGGCCCTGGCCAAGATTTTTTCAAGGCAGTATATTCATGTCAAAAGCAAGATTTTTCATGATCTGAAGGTTACATCACCCAGAACCAGTCGGCTATTTATTGAAAGAGATGATTGGCAATGAGGATAAGAGGCAGAGATGGTGGTAGCATTTCGTGAGATGCCAGTCTCCTGTTTGTTTTCTCTGTCTTGTCTTTTCTTTGACTTTTCCTAAGGTTTTCCATCCGTGCTGTAGCTGTGCCTCTCATAGCCTTCTTGTTTACACAATGATGAATTGCCAAAAACAAAACAAAAACAAGAAATATATATAGGAAAGTATAAAATGAGGGTAAGGCCAGCATGATCTCTTCCCGCTTTGGCACAAGAAAAAAAAGATCTTGCACCACACCTCCCTTTCAGGCTTGTTGCCTTCTACAGTTATAATTAGCTTTTTGTGTGTATGTTAGGGAGAGGGGCAGTGACAAGAGGTAAATTTCAGTTGAAATACCCTTGTTTAAAAGTTAAATTATTTGATACCAGTAATGACTGTGCCCCCTTTAGATTGCAGATTTTATGATATTTTAAGATTGTACAGGTTTTGTCCATTTTGTAAAAAATACTTATAAAGATTTTGTCCCAGATTTAAAACTAGACTTTTGTGTTCATATGTACTGGCAGTGGTAAGTTGTGAAGGCTTAAGGCACCCATCGTTTTTTAGCAGCATTTTAGAATAAAATTATTCCATGTCTTTGACTATCTTGAATATGGAATATATTATACCATCAGAATTTTTCTCTTCATACAGGTAATGGCAAATCTGAAATTCTATGAAAGTGAGGAGAGTTTCATGGATGATTGCAATAAGATCCGTCGAGGAGACATCATTGGAGTGAAGGGCATTGGACTGCGGACCAAGACTGGAGAATTGTCTATCCGTCCATCCAAGATTGAAGTCCTCTCTCCATGTCTTCACATGCTTCCACATCTCCACTTTGGTATTAAGGACCAGGAAACAAGGTACAGACAGAGATATCTTGACCTTATTATCAATTCAGACATCCGCAAGAAGTTCGTTGTCAGAGCTAATATAATCTCATACATTCGCAAGTTCTTTGATGACTTGGGTTTCTTGGAGGTTGAAACGCCAATGATGAACATGATTGCTGGGGGCGCCACAGCAAAGCCCTTCATCACACATCATAATGACTTGGACATGGACCTCTACCTGCGAGTAGCCCCTGAACTGTTCCTCAAGATGCTTATTGTTGGAGGTATTGACAGAGTATATGAAATTGGGAAACAGTTTAGGAATGAAAGCATTGATCTCACACACAACCCAGAGTTCACAACTTGTGAATTCTATATGGCGTATGCAGACTATAATGACTTGATTGAGCTTACAGAAAAGTTGGTGTCAGGGATGGTTCATAGCATTTTTGGGTCATACAAAGTGAAATTCCAGCCACAAGGACCAGAAGGTGAAGAATGGGAAATTGATTTTAAACCTCCCTACCGAAGAATTCACATGTTCCCAGGTCTTGAGAAGGAGCTCAATGCAAAACTTCCAGCCCCAGATCAGCTTAATTCAGAGGAGGCACGCAAAACTTTAAGTGACTTGTGTGAGAAGCATGGTGTAGAGTGCCCTCCTCCTCGCACTGCTGCACGATTATTAGACAAGTTAGTTGGTGAATTTTTGGAAGAAAAATGTATTCACCCAACCTTTATCATGGATCATCCCCAAGTAATGAGTCCCCTTGCCAAATATCACCGTTCAGTCAAGGGACTTACAGAGAGGTTTGAGCTCTTTGTGGCCAAGAAGGAAATCTGCAATGCATACACTGAGCTCAATGACCCACTTGACCAGAGAGCCAGATTTGCACAGCAAGCACAGGATAAGGCAGCTGGAGATGATGAGGCACAAATGATTGATGAGAACTTCTGCACTGCCTTGGAATATGGCCTCCCGCCTACAGGTGGCTGGGGCATGGGCATTGACCGCCTGGCCATGTTCTTAACTAACTCATACAACATCAAGGAAGTCCTCTTCTTCCCAGCAATGAAGCCTGAAGACCAACACAAGAAGCAAACTGAAGAGGCGAACAAGGAGAACCAGCCATCGTCCTAAGGCCTTCAGGATGTACTGCCAGTTTCCTGTTACCAAAGAGTTAGAATGGCAACACATTGGGGTTCTAATTTTAATGGTGGAGGAATTGTGATTTTTTCATGATTAGAATCACACAATCACAGCTCTTCTGATTTAAGATCGAAATACGACATTTACATAAATTATTGATCAATAAAATGTCATTTTACAAATGTAAGATTTTTCTTACTATTTAAGTCTACCCTAATTGTTACCTTTATTATTATATTTATTCTCTTTGGTGATATAAAACATCGGGAGTAATACCTTGCTTTAATTTACCTCTATAAAGATTAATGAAATCCAAGAAAAATAAATTATACATATTTTCTTTCTCTTTCTTTCTCTTGCTTCTTTCTGTCTTTCTGTATTTGCCTTCTTTAGTTTCATTCTTTGTTACTCCCATTAACACTGACATCGGTATCACCCTAAAAATTTACAATGTATACATTCAGTTTGGTATAAAGTAAATATTTTCTCAGCTATTCATTTTGGGTATTAGTATTGAATAAATGTAGATTCTGGTAACACACACCAAATATTGATGTTCATAGAACCACTGAATTAATTTCAATAAATTTATTGAAGCTTTGGAGGGTTATTGTCAGAGATGGGAATATTTTACCATTTTAATGATTGATTCAGAAAATATTACAGCTCTGGATACAAGAAGAATTCTTCACTAATTTCCTTAATTTTTAATGCCTTAAATTTTCAGAGAAACTTATAAATACAGTACATAAGTAATAATAACTACCAAGCTCATACAGATCTTGCATATTCCACACATGAATTCTGCAGTGATTTAATGTAAGAGGATGCCAATCAGTTTTAGAAATACAGAAGCTGTTGGAATGTAGCAAAATCCGTCTTTCGTCTTTCCCTGCTTCTTGAAAAGTAGCCAAGGGAAAGGGAAATAGTTGACAAAAGTGATTAACCGTGCATTTAAGCCTTTAAAAAATAACTACTGAATTCATGTTAACTTAAAAGTTGCACTACAATTTACTTGTGGGTCCAAATTGCTTGTGAATCAGGTCTGCTGCAATTGATGCTGCCTCATTGCTACATCCCCAAAACATGGTTACTCCACAACCGCCATGTCCATAGTTGTGAACCACCTGTAAGAAATTTACATAAGAGATGTCATAGTTTTTATATTATTTTTATACGTTTTTTCACAACAATGAGAATTATGTTTCAGTGGAACTAGTGTAATTAACAAAGATACATACAGGAATATTACGTGACGCAATTTTCACCTCGTCAGCCTCCAATCGCACACCATTTCTTCTGCAAGGTCGCAGTCCAGCCCATTCCCTTATGATTTCTGCTTTCTTCAAAGAATAAGGGTATAAAAAACAGTTATCTAGTGTTTGGTCAAAAAGTGTATCATAATCAATCATGATCCATAAAATCTAATTTACATAAATATGCGAACATTCAGCTATTGTACAAAACTAACCTGTATGGAGGTACTCTACTTAGAAGTAGTATGATGCACTCGTATATCTTTTCATGAAGTAATTTAATGTCTTGTTTACTTTATATATTTTCCTATTTTTATATTTATTTGTATCCATTTATTATTTACTCAAGATCCTATGCACATGGCTTAAAATTCTCCAACTATAATCAACTAAAAGAAATACATCTTAACCCCAAAATAATTTTCCAAGAAAAAAGTTTGAACTCCATTCAACACAAAATGAATAGAGATAAGAGATATTTTTCATTCCCAGTTTAGAATTGACAAATGTAGCAATTGCAGCCTATGTTGTATAAGAGCTGCTTCATTTGTCTCATCATTTAGTGGTGATTCAAGACAGCAAACATCACTGAGGTTTCCAAGAATTAATCAGTGAAAATAAGGTAGACCAGAAATGATAATATAATGTTAATTGTTCAGTGAAGAGCAAAAGGGATATATTAAGATAGAAAAGGTTTTTTAAAGATGCACAATTGTGTAAAAAATAGCATACAGTTTATTAATAATTATTAATCAAAGTACTGATATTACAATCACCTATTCATCAAATCACATCAGTTTCTTGCATTTTGGATGTTTCATCTCAAATATGAAAAATACTAGGATGAAAATATTAGTAAGTATACGGTAATAATAATAAT